GAGGCCCATGCCGAGTCTACAAAATTTGGCCTCAGCTCTATCCGGCCTTGCTATTGACCTCCTCAAACATCATGGGGAGCTATAGCAAACAAGGCCAATGGCAATCGGGCAACAGTTATATATTTATACAATGTTATGGAGCATCTTACTGACAAACATTGGCTAAGTTATCAAAAACAGGCCCGAGCACTCGAGGAGAAGGATGTTCGTGAACGTAAGTCATTTTTTTTTTAAGTTCCCTCCTCACAAATATATGTTGTGGTCTTTGCAGTTGTAACTGCTACAAATACCTTGACTGCAAATGATGATCCAAGGCCAGCCACACAGGAACCAAACCCTTGCGAGAATAATGAAGAAGAAGACTCTGCGGATGAAGAGGACATTCTTCCATTACCAGAAGAAACTCTCCCCACACAAGACAACATGGACATTAGCGGAGTCGAAGAACAAGGTGATGGTGGGGATGAACCGCACCAAGGATCTTTGGAGACATCCTTGTCACCAGAGATAGTGGCTCCAGGCCATGCGGCTGGTAAGAAGCATTAACATAAATGAATATTTTCTTCATTTTCTAATTTCTGAGTGCAGATAGGCCAATGGTAGTGTATGACAGTGATGGCGGAGGCCTTGAAGACCATGGTGTGCCTCCACCCCCCTTTCTAGAGGGAAGTAGCTCCACTCCGTTTACGCTTATGGAGTTGCTTGACAACTTTTCTACAGTAGAGTAAGATAATTGAAAATTGTGCTATTCAAAATTGAACTAATGTTTGCATGTAGATTGTTGGAGCATCAACAAAGATGGATTGATGCCACCAATGCATTTAATGAAGCTGTTCAGTTAACCACTCAGGATAGTGCCAACTTCATCATGCTGCAGATTGAGGAGGTTTCTGCCTTACAGGATGCCACCACAACCCTTGAGGTGAGGGCACAGGGGGATGCTGAAGTTCTCTCACAGGTGCAGTGGCTGAAACACAAGCTTCTTGGTTGCTTTGCCGTGGAGAGCACAAGTGACGAGGAGATGCTAGACGCTATTGCTAGACACCCTGAATTCCATTGGGCTGGCGGTGAAATATTTCTGCGGCACGTGCTTTTCAACCAAGCCATGCCTCATTGGCAAGATTGGGAGAGTCTTCTCCTTAAGCTTGGCCTTTCAGAAGCACAGTATAAGGATGTGTTTTGTGACAACACAATCCAACAGCTCCTTGCTCAAGTAAGTATTAATGTGCCTCCTTCAATTCTTGAGTCCACAATAGCATGGTTCATTGAGAAGAGGTACGTGTATCTATTTCTTAGCACTTAGTACCATCTTATGGTTTGTGCAGGGACCTATGTAGGAATTGGGCGGCTGCACAACAATTGAAAGAACTATTTGACACTACTGAAACACTGTATTGTAAATTCTCTTGTTTTTGCATCGAGAAGGCCATGCTTCGGCCATACAGACTTGCTCGTACACGTTTGAGGCCGTCTTGCATTCTGGTAAGCAATGGATTGCCTATGAATTGGAGTTACCTCACTTGTCCTTCTAGATTGCACCAAACAATGAATTCAGTTGTTTCCAATTCGCCTTCAATACTAATCTCCGCACACCAAATTACAAAGTGGTCTATGCGTCTGAGATTGGAGGAGCTTTGGTGTGGGAGGAATCCACAATAGATGCGGGTGGGCCACATGCAAAAGCCATTAGAGAGGCTGTTCGCCAGATTCCAGGATCGGTAAGTCTAATTTTCACTTGGCTCACTAGAGTAATTTTGTGTTACAGACGCGTGGGCTGTTTGTGCTTAGAGAAAGAGCCACATATTGGCATCCTAGGATGCCAGTGCATTCTAGGACGTTGCGACAAGAAGAGCGGGATGTGGTAAGTTAAGTTTAAAGCACAAGTTTTATATGCTCCTCACTTTTATATGCACAGGCTATCTTTGTGGGATGGTTGCTATTCCAAGCGTTCGAATGTAATGCACAGGTTTCTCGCGGGTGTACAATTGCAACATTGGCAATTGCAGCTGGAGAGGTTCTAAACGAGGATGATCGACGACTTGCCCGAGGAGGACTATATGAGATGGACCTCAAGGCATGCGGGCCGCATATCTGGAATGCACTCAACCAATTGCGAGGTATATCAAGCCTAAAGGAGGAGGGCGATCGGCGCAAGTCTGTGGATTCCATCCTAGAGAACCTTGCAATTACTGACTACAATGCAGTGCTTGAGTCTAGACTCACCGAACTTGGTGAAGGTTATGAGCAAGCTGTGGAGGCATGCGTGGCTGCGGTGGTTTGGCATTACCTATTCATCGAGCCAAATGTAGTGGGAGACTTACTCCGAGATGGCTTCCAACACTCAATGCGCATGGAAGCTCGTCAAAGGCCTTACAAGAGTCCAACATTGCTAGGTGGGCTTTCACTCATTGGGACAGATGCTTTGTTACAGGTCTTCCGGGTAAGGACGATCATTCCTCCTGCGGAGTTCATCAACTGCCTGATCTTTGATCAGGACTTTGGAGAGAACTTCCGCAGCTGGATTGTGGACATCATTCGAGGTAACTATTTACTTTCACAAACAACTAAAACTCTTGTATGTTTGAACATTTTATAGATATGAGCCCAAAAGAGTTATCCAAGTTCCATCACTTTGCGGTTGATTCTCTAGAGTTCCGACCGGGAGAGCCTATTTGGATCCAAGTTGAGAGACAGAGTACATCATCTACTCGATTTCCCAGGTTCTCCACATGCACACGAGAAGTTTTCTTCCCTTTAACATACCCGTCAAAGGAGTGGACCAAACACAAGATCCACCGGGCACTCCAAAATCCAGAGAGCTTGTATGGATTAGGCTGATGTTGTCGAAGTAATGTAGACACTTTCACAATAAAAATAGATAATTGTCTTCAAATATGTTTCACACTTTGAAAGAGACTCTTTCCAGTTCATTGGCGAAGTTAAAGGTAAGAATATTCAAAATATTCCACAAATGCCCATTATAGGCACTTGCGGCCCTTGGTACCCTTTTGGCTTATGCTTGTCTCACCAAGGGTAATCACTATAGCTTCCAAAGCAGCTCCCAATTTAGGTTCTGGGTCAAAACTATCGAGCTTGGGTGCTACATGATGCCCATCCTCGCTTGAGGAACTCTCAACCTATTTGGTAGAACCAAAATCACCCTCTAGGTCTGTGAACTCGTCCTTGCTTGCATCTCGAGCAATAACATATCCCTCGCTGTCACTTTCTTCAACAGGACCTTTCCCCTCGGTGATTGGCACAAGATTAGAAGTAGTCTTGGGCTGCCTTGTCAAAGGGATTGTCGAGCCTTGAGAGGAGGAGGCATCATATAGAATCCTCGGTCCTGTCCCCTGTTGGATTCATTGTTGTGCCTCAAAGAAGTCATAAAATCCTCTCCAGTTTGCCATGCCAAGAGGAAACCCAGAAACCTTAAACATTGCAAAAGGGTTACACCATATAGGAAACTATTACAAATCTACTCTTACCAAAGTGAGCACGAGCTTCCAATCCTTGAAAACTCCAGTTCTTCGGCCGCAACGCACGGCATACATTGGATAGTTTTGCCCCATGCTTGGAAACCCTTTTTACAAATTTCAAAATTTGAAACGATTATGATTGGAAAATATTGTAAGTGTCCATTGTCATTGCTCTTCTCACTTAAATGTTACTACATGCAATTGCAACTTCCATATTCTCAAATCTCCTTCAGCATGCTCCTCTTGAGAGAACTCCAGGTCCAATTTGAAACAATTATAATTGGAAAATGTTGAAAGTGTCTATTGTTATCCTGAATGTTACTGCATGCAATTGCAACTTCCACATTCTCAAATTTCCTTTAGCATGCTCCTCTTGAGAGAACTTTACGTCTAAACATCAACACTATGCACCTTTGCATAGTACACAATTGAAGTATGAGCCCCACCAATTCATCGAATTGGTTAGACTTCAACCTACTTTTGAGTCATATGCAAATCTTCTAAGCATCATGGTACAAAACTCAAGTGTTGAAAGAGCTACACTGGAAATCAATTGCAACAAAAGATAAACTCAATGGGATCCATTAAAGACATGACTCCAGATAGTATATATCCATGGCTTTGCAATGGAGCTAGATGGAGTTCACTTACGTTTGTTATGAACACTATGTTAAAAGAGGTGTGCCCAGGTGTGACTCAATTTCCAACATTTTCCAGCTATGAGAGCCCAGGAGTTCTTCGCATCCATGGTGAATGCACCTCAAGAATCACAATGCAAGACAGAGGAAGTAAGAGGATTCAACGATTGCCTAGACGCTGCAGCGGGTAACAATGGGAGCATCGATGATTGCGAGCAGCATAGCGGCGGTCGGCAATGTGGGGAGGACACGGCGATGGCTGTTGATGACGATCAAGGCTGCCATACTCCCAAATTCTAGATGGAGTTCACTTACGCTTGCTATGACACTATGTTAAAAAAGGCGTGCAATTTGTAAATGCATTGCAACGAAAGATAAACTCTTGCCATGAGTGCCAAGAGCAAGACGTGAGAACATAGTGCTCTAGATAAGGTAGTATGGTATGCAATTTAGTCGATTGTCCATTTGGTTTGCAACATTAACAACTTGCTCGAATGCATGGGATGAATGGGTCTATGGGCCATGAATGGCTCCATTCCATACATAGCATGGGTCATTGCTATTGATGCCCCATCTGGGGCATAAGGATTGAAAAATATTCTATGCCTGTGTTTTTTATACACTCATAATACACGTGGACCAATAGCAAGCATACACGTGGTGTGAGTGAAATCCACCGTTGTAAAATCCACCCTTTTACGAATTGCACGCCATAGCTCACATATAAACATAATTCAAATGCAAGTTGTTGGAAGGTCAAGGTTGTAATGTCAACAAAAGCATATTCTATGGAGTTAGAGTACGTATCCACATGGTTGTGGTTGACAATAAAGATTTAATGCCCATAAAATTGATTTATGAAAGATGTGTTGTATGACACCTTGAGCACGGTTTTCCATCGGGCTCCTCCCAAAGTCACATATTCTGATTTTAGAAGGCCTCAAAAAATCTTGAATCGCTTGCGTGAGGGGTCAGATGGATTCCGAACATCCTGTCAATCATCTCGCCACTCTCGTCCACGGGTCTGACCGCCCTCGCCTCAGGAGCGAATGATCAGGTGAGACGCCTAGAGATAGATCTTAGGCCACGAGAAAGAATCATGGTGGATCCAGGCTTTGTCTCGGCGCTCATTGCAGAGATAGTGCACCTGGCGATAGTAGAAGCGGCAAAGGTTGTGATGTGCCGGGAATACTGTATGCAATTAGCAAAAATGGTGGATTCTTGTGTCAAGCCGGTCGTGTCTGAACTGGGGAGCCTTGGGAACAATCCGCAGCTCAAGAATGTTGCTGACACCTGGCTTGCAAGCCTTCGGGCCTGCCTAGAAGATGCGCAGGCAGTGATCATCGAGTGCAGGAGCGTGCATTCCTTCAACGTTTTCGTCAAGTAAGATGCATTCTTCTTTCTTCTGAGTAACGCATCAATTGATCAGTGCATTGTTCTGCAGGTACAGGCTCTCGCGCAGAATCATGAGTATTCTGATCAAGATAAAGGAACTTCACGAGGCTGCCAGTACTTGGAACGTGGCCCTGTCTGCCAAGGTTGTCACACAATGCAGTGAGGTACTACGGTTGCTTCAAGACAATTACAGATACGTTTCACTTTCGGCAAAGACCTGTGGATGCACACAGTCTGAGAGTTATAGCAAAGATCGTGCGATTTTTGAGATAACGAATGAAGCAACGAGTCACTCGGCTGGTTTAGACGTGGTCGACGAGCCAACTACAGAACTTCAGCCGATTCCGAAGCTGGTGTTTGGACTGGAGGAATTGAGTAGCCGACTTGAAGCAGTCCTTCGAGATGGCACAGGACGATGGGTTGGTGTTTGGGGCAAGGGAGGTTCAGGAAAGACGCTGTTGACACAAACTGTCACTAACAGTTTATCGGTGAACAATCACTTTGGAGGAAAGGTATATTGGCTCACGGTTGCACGAAATCCCAACATTGCCAGGTTGCAAAGTAGATTACGCAAACACATCGGCCGTGGGGAGCAGCTCTTTTCATCCGAGGAAGCTGGCAGGAAAACCCTCATCAACTGCTTGAAGAACAGCAAAGTGTTGTTGATCTTGGACGATGTGTGGGATGGAAATGTGCTGCAGTGGTTTGATGTGGTGGATGCTCCAGGCAGCAAAATTCTGGTGACTTCCCGGAACAACAGTGTCTTTGACAAGGTGCCATCAACGGTCATCGAAGTGAAACTGCTTTCGGATGAGCATAGTTGGAATCTCTTCTGTGGCTGTGCATTTCCGGGACAAGACCGGCAACAGCTAGAACACGACATGGAACCAATACTTGCCGAAAGAGTAAAGCAAGTGGTCTCTGAGTGCAAAGGACTGCCTTTAGCTCTCAAAGTCATTGGTGGAAGCATGGCAGGCAAGCAGCAGCTAGGCGACTGGGATTCTACATTACGCAAGTTGAAGAATGCCGAGGTTTTGAACGAGGAACAAGAGAACCAGGTGTATCACAGACTCAAGCTTAGCTATGACGAACTCGATATGATTGACAAAGCCCGAGGCAGAGCACTGCAAGAGTGCTTTCTCTACTTCGCAGCCTTTCCTGAGGATGCAGTTATAGAGGTGGAGCAGCTCATTGGGTATTGGATTGGTGATGGCTTGATAGGATACAAAGACGATGAAGATCCTCAGGTTGAGGCTTATTACATTCTGGGCCAGCTTATAGGACGCTCACTCGTGGATCTGGAAGTAGGTTGGACACATAGCCAGAACACGAAGTTCTTGAGTTGCAAAATACACGATGTGCTTCGGGATATGGCGATTTACATATTGGAAAACCAGAAGAAGGCCACTGAGTATGCGTGCCTGTTTCTGTCTGGAAGGGAGTTTCCTGCAGGACTATGCAAAGGTACTGGCCAAGAGAAGTTCAACGCTAAGAAGCTTTCTTTGATAGGAAATCAGGTGGAGAACGTCGATAAGCTTGGAACTCGGGCTCCGGATGTGGAAGTGCTACTCCTTAGCAACAACATTCAGCTGAAACATCTTACCGGGCGGTTTCTGTGGAGCTTTAAAAAGCTCCGTGTACTGGACCTGAGCAGGACGGGCTTAATATCTCTTCCCATGGAGATTGGGAAGCTCAAAGAGCTGGTCGTCCTCGACATTAGTTATAGCAGCATCCGATCTGTGCCGGACTCTTTGGCTGGCGAAGTTAGAACATCTGAACATGCAAAATTGTCAATTGGAGAGCTTTCCAGTGCACAAAGTATCGAATCTCGTCAACTTGCGTTATCTCAACGCAAGAGGGTGTGGGGATATCTGGGACCAAAACCGGCACAGTCCTTGCAGCTGCGTAACATCCGAACTTCCAGTACAAGGCCTAAAGAATCTAGCAGCCTTACAAATGTTGACCAGGTTATGGATCAGCAGCCGAACTGCAGAACGCTTCCCTGCTATCTCTTCAACCAGGCTGGTACATCTCAGCCTTTACTTCGAAAAACTTTCAGTCATTCCAGACGAGCTCCAGTCCCTGGCCGCTCTAGAGGTTCTCGATGTCAACACTTGCAGATCACTCCTGAAGCTACCGGACTATCTCGCCAAGTCGTTCTTGGGACTGCTTGCTCTCGACCTTCGTGGCTGCACGTCGTTGTCGCAACTTCCTTCAGATCTGCAGGAGTTACAATGGCTTCAAAAGCTGGATCTTGAAGGCTGCTTGTCCTTGCAATCTCTACCAGAGGCTTTCGGAAGTTCAGGTGCATTTCCTTCGTTACAAGAGCTTTTCATGACGGGATGCGGAAGACTAGAAGCATTTCCAGAATTGCAACCAGGGGCACTTCCTCGTCTTCGTATCCTCAAACTGGCGTTTTGTGAGCGCCTGCAACGCTTGGATATACATCCCAAGGCGCTGCCCAACCTTGTCCACTTGAACCTGAGAGGCTGTGCCGGATTGAAAGAGCTCCCTGACGAGGAAGCGTTGAGATATTTTTCATACTTGGAGGAGCTGGTTTTGAACAACACGCAAATATCTGGCTTACCTGCGAGTATAGGACTGCTTCCAAGGCTGAGGAAGCTGGAATTGAAGCAATGCATGCAACTGAGAGCGTTACCATGGGTTGATTTAAGTGGTGACTACTTCATCAGCTTGGAAGAGATATCTATGCGAGGAATTCCCATTCGAGAACTGCCCAAGGTTTTGGCTGCAGCACCACAGCTCCGAAAAATGGACCTCACGGACTGCGACTTCATAACCTTGACGGACGAGGTGTTCGGCCTGTTGAAAACCAGAAACGTTAATCTCATCGGAGCCAACGTTCAGACCATATCTGCTCTGAATGAAGCGGAAATGGGGCATGAGCACGAAGCAGACAAAGAACCGATAAAGGAGAAGCCAGAAACTGGGAAAGCAGCTGAGAACACTTCAGAGACGAATACCGACCAACATGAATCTGCTACTGTCTTGGATCCGAGTAATTCTAAAACGACATCGACAACCAACCAGCACAGTGCCTCCTTTCCTTCATTCAACAATTTCCTAGACTGGTTAGCAGGATTCATAGACGAAACGAGTATAGATGAAGATCTAGAATATCAGAAGCTGGCAAAGGATGCAAACGGCTACGATCCTGGTCATGTGCGGAGGGTCGATTTGCGAGACATGAAACTGCAATTATTCAAGCGAGGATTGGAGGATCATCTGGTGCTGGGCTCATGCAGCGGAGACGTCATCACTGAGGAGGTCCTCAAAAACCTGGCCTGTACGAGCTGGAACGTGCACTCGTATGTTGGTGCTCGTTTCCTGGCAAACGGTTTCTTCGAGCTGGCATTCGCAAACTCGCTGGATGTTCAGAAGTTGCTGGAGAGGCGGTTTGCGCAGTACGAAGATCGCGTGATCCTCTTCCAGCCTTTCCAGCAAGACTTCAACCCCAACGAGGCTGGGAATATCAAAGCAGCTGTTTGGGTGGGATTGCCCCTCCTGCCGACGGATTGCTTGCATCCCAAAGTTTTGAAGGCGGTTGGGAATGCACTTGGTAGCTACTTGGCATATGAGCTTGACGGTGAAAGGCTTCCCAGGGTTTGCTTCGCATGCACCATCCAACAAGAACGGGAGTTGCCTAGTGAACTGGAGCTGGTTCTCCCATCGGGCAAAGTCTGGTTGCAGCCCTTGGTATGGTCGTAGACAAAAGGTGGGATTTTGAGCGTGAAGCATGCAAGGAGCTTGTGATGAGATCACAGAGTGGCTTGTGATAAATGCGATCTCAACGAAAAAGGAGCTTGTGATGAGTTCACAAAGTTGCTTGTGATAAATGCGATCTCAACGAAAGTAAATGTGGTCTTAGTTTCACGCGTGTAAGGCTGTAGCGTTGTAACGTGTCGTTCTCTCCAACGACCACGTGGTGACACGTGTATTGGTCCACCTATTGGTGTTTAAAGGTTTTAGGGTTCTTCGGCAGGGCAGAGCAATGGCGAGAGCGCAAGAAGGTGAATCGGGGCTTGACGCAGTCGTTCGCGATGCGGCAAATCAGAATGAGGAAAATGCTGGTGGCCAGGAGTCGGAGTTTGATACGATCGCTCGCTACAGAGGGCAGGCTCAGGAAAATATGGGGAATTTCTTAGCGCAGCATGTTGCTCGTCACGGCGAGCCGGGCAAGAACAAGGGAATCGCGGTATGAAAAGGTTGTCTTTCCCTCTTCTCAAGTGGCGAAATCTCGCAGGGCAAGAGTGAGGAGCAACTCCAAGCTAAGGATGGATCGTCGATCTCTGACCAGCTTGGCAAGAGGTGAGTTTCTCTACAAGACCTCCCGATTTCTCCTGTCCCATTCTTAGATCCTGGAGGATCTGAATCGCAGCTCGGACGAAGCTCGTGAAAGAGTCTTCCAGAGCGGGGATAGAACATACGACGCGATCGAGGAGGCGAAGAAGTCCGTCCAGAAGAGGTTTGAGGACGCGAGGAAAAATGCGAGCGACAAGAAGGACGCACCGGATGAGGGAGCAGACAGCTACACCGCGATCAACGAAGCCAAGGAGGAGCTCAAGGACAAATACGATGCTGCTAGAGATCATTTCGATGAGAATGCCAGTGATGTGGATAAATCTCGAGAAGGACAAGATGGATCGAAGGAAGCCAGTGGCATTTCGTCGGTGACCCGATCGATCAAAGAGGCCATCGCTGGAAAGTAAATCTCAAACTTAAATTTGATATTATCTTAGTGCAAAGCTTAATTATTATTCAATTATTATAATTTTAGTTACATAGTTTTAATTAAAGCTTAGTACTCTTACGCTGGACAGAGGATTCGAACCTCTGACCTTGTGGTTAACAGCCACACGCTCTAACCTTCTGAGCTAGTCCTGCTTATATTAATAATAAAGAACTTAAATAATAAATAGTTATATTTTAACGCGCGATCTCAACGCTAAACAGTTTCATCACATGCCTATAGCTCAGCTGCAAATTATATTTTGATCGAGCCTGATGGACGCGTTCACGAGCAAGTCAGCATTGAGCTTCATCGTTGTACTTCTCGTGCGCTCTTCCATGTCGATCCCGCCCGGGGTAGCAGGACGCCAATTAAATGCCTGGAGCAAACTGGCCACGTAAAACGCGATCGATCTCATCGCCAGTGGATAGCCGGCACATACTCTCCTGCCCGATGAGAATGGGATGAAATCAAAGTTCTGCCCGTTGATGGCGCTGCTGGAGCCGAGAAGACGCTCCGGCTGGAACGTTCCTGGGTCGGACCAGCGAGCGGGATCGCGTCCGATGGCCCATATGTTGACGAGAACCTTGCAGCCGGCGGGGATGGTGTAGCCGCCCAGGTTGACGGGCTTGAGATTCTTGTGAGGAACTCCCAGTGGGGCCGCCGGGTGGAGACGCAGTGATTCCTTGACAATGGCATCGATGTATGGAAGGTTTGGAAGATCGGACTCTTGCACCGCGCGAGCTCTCCCTACAACGCTGTCCAGTTCGTCTTGAGCCTTGGACACGACTCGGGGATGGTTTATGAGCTCCGCCATTGTCCACTCGAGCGTCACTAGTGAAGTTTCCAACCCTGCAACAACCAGGTCCTGTCGCAAGAAGTGAAAAAAACCAATATCACGATGCTGGTAAAACTTACCACGAGCAGTGCCAAAATGGAAATGTCTGGCAATTTATCCTTGTCCTCGAGAGATATAAGAACGTCAGTGAAGTCTCGAGGGGCGAACCCGTCCCCAGCTTGATCTTTTCTGCGTCGATGCTTGTCGACTTGATCTTCCACCAAGAGCTTCAGGCGAGGCATGAGCTCCCTGTTGAGTTTCTTGTAGATTCCATGGAGATCCAGCCCGTCAAGTGCCGGAAGCAGGGCACCGATGTTCAGGTGCAAGCTTAGAGATGCTATCTTCTGGCTGAGATCCATGACCTCCAGCCCCCGCTCGCTAAAAAGAACCAGGCATAGCGAATTCGACAAGAGACTACTGAAAACCTCTTTCAAATTGATCATTGTCTCGGATTGCTGGAAAATGGACTTGACTGTATGCTTCATCTCCGACTCCCGGAATCCTGTGCTTGCCTTGAGCATACTGTTGCTAAACAGGTGTGTGCTGCAAATCCTCCTCATGGTTTTCCACTTGTCACCTAAAGGCCCGAGGATGAGACCGTTCCAGTTGTGGCTGACGATCCGAAAGAACTCGTCGTCCGGCCGGCTTGCAAACTCGAGATCGTGGGTCTTAAGAACCTGTGCGGCCATTTCGTTGTTGTTCACCACCACGAACGGGGCCATTCCGATCTTGAGGTAGACGATCGGCCCATACTTCTTGCTGATCTTTGCAAAGTGCTGGTGGAGTGGCTCCTCGAGGGAGAAGAGCGCTCCAAAAATGGGGAAAGAGAATGGACCTGGAGGGAGGCGCCGTTGTTGCGACGATCGAATTCTCCCTATGAGGAGTGATAGTGTGATCCAGCTGATGCCCAGGACGAACAAAGCCACACCTAAGTCCATCGCTTCAAAGGTCTGGATCTCCACGGCCATGGCCATATTGTAGAGAACTTGACAACGAAGACCCCGGTGGGCGGGGTTCGCAAGGCACCTTGCCGTCTCCGCCGCATGGCCCCGTGTTATGCATGCTCCCATAAAAAACTCGCAGTAGCAGCCCACATGGTTTAAATTTTTAATTTAAATTTAATTTAACTTTTTTTGTGTTGATCCTTAAAGTCAGAAGACCACCTAGAATGAAAAGTAGGGTTAACAAATTGATCGAGCGCTAGGAATCTCCGTTTCTCAATTTATTGCGCTGTCATATTTTGATCGAGCCGGGTTTACAAGCAAGGCGGCATTGAGCTTCATCGCCATACTTGCCGTGGACTCCTCCATGTCGATCCCGCCCATGCCTGGAGCAAACTGGCCACACGGAAAACGATCTCATCGCCAGTGGATAGTCAGGACAAACTCTCCTACCAGACGAGAATGGAATGAAATCGAGGTGGCAGGGATAGCGCTGCTGGAGCTGAGAAAACGCTCCGGCTGGAACGCTTCTGGGTGAGTGGAATTGCGTCCGCGGCCATGGCTATAGTTGACAAGATCTAGACAACTGTTGCATCGTGATTCCTCAGATGGTTTGGATTTTTAATGATGCCACGCAAGACATTTTTACAAGAGGTCGAAGAAATGCTCCAAGCCTTGGCCAATCTCCCATATAGAAACTCCAACACCGGCGGAAACACTTTCTTCTAGCCTCGAAGTAACGCTCTTGGCAGTGGGGAAGTAGACCCTGTGCTTGTTTTGATCCTTGGAGTAATCAAAGTAATGCTCTCGGTTCATCGAATCCCATATGAGCTTGGGAGTGTACTCTTTCAGAAGCTCCAAGAATTGGTCGCCAACAATAGCTCCACCACCTAGAATGAAACTAGCGTTAAGAAAGTGTTTCGAGCAAGAAGCTCTAGCATACCTCGCGGAAGAACGTAGTCGTTTCCATAGAAGTTTATTCCCATCAGGATCTTGGAAGAGACCTCGTTGGATTTCCCTGCGAGTAAAGAGTGGAGGCAGGAGCGTATCCAGGGAAGCGGTGCGTTCGGGCCTGGACGATAGGCGTTTGAGAAATCGTAAGTCATGAGCGAGAAGCCATCGACGGCGTGCTGCAAAGAATGGAGGTCCCCTCGCGTGAATTCTTCCGGGCCTCCTCCACGCTCGGGTGGTATAACGAGCACGAGTTGCAATGGACGGGTAGCGCTAGCAGCGTTGAGCTTGTGTAAGGACGAGCCAAGTTCTCGGATAAATGCTAGAGCCTGTAGATTTCTTGTTGTCAGACAATGTTCTTGAAATTGTTTCTTACAAACCTTTTCACGTAAACGATGGTTCTCGAGTATTCTGTAAGAAGCCCAGGAATTCCACGCTTCCAGCACGATGCCATCGTAAGCTTGCTCCCTAAGAGAAAATCACAAAAAAGAAAAAGATGAAAGACTCACGTACTTGCACTCTTCGAGGATTAGCTTGATTGCCTTTTGCTTCTCGTCTGCACTCACAAGCATGCTGTCTAAGGACCAGCCTTCAAGCACCACACGCGGAACAATCTGCGCGAAATGGTCACTGAAAGAAGTAACTATCATAAGAATCACAAGACCAAAAACTTGATAGATACACATAAAAACTATAAGATCATACCAGTGGAAATCCCTGCTTTCGCACTTCGGAAATCCATCCTTGATCCACATCATGCTTGCCAGCTAAACTCATGCCTTTGTCATCTCTACAGAATTTACAGAACAATCAACTTACACAACAGTGAGGAGCAAAGCCTACCTTCTTAGCTGATACCACACAGGAGAAACGTGAGTGAGCTTGTGCCGGAATTTTTTTGCCATATCATATCCTTTGGAATTCCTGCGACAAAAGATCATCCATGAGAAGAAAGAAAGAAGAACAATCAAACACGAACTAACCATGGCGTGACATAGGCGAGAACAGTACCATTCAGCTTTCTCTTAGCTCCAAGACGCGGAGCTCGCGATGCTGCCTGAGGAAAAAGGAGAAAAGCAAAGCGATGGATGAAGAAAACATGGAGAAATCGATCTAGCATACCTTCAAGATATCTCTGTAGGACAGATCCTCACCTCCTCCCAAAGAACTAGCGAGTGGATCTCTAGAATAATGGAAATACCACGCTAAGAAGAAGAAAACAAGCACCAAGGCCAAAATGCCGTGCTTGAGCCGCGATCCAGTGCTTTGCTGGGAATCTCCAGCCTTCTCAAGAGCATTGGAGCCGGGTCTACGAGCCTGGCGCTCACTGCTGCTGTGCCGGCGCCTCTGCTGAGCCATTTGGCAAGGATGCCCTAATTCCAATGCGGAGGTTTTTGTTAGGGTTTATCGCCCATGGCTATGGAGGACGGTGGCGCGCTGCTCGTTTCTCCTCCTTGGAAGCAAATGGAGGTAACTCGAGGCTCGGTCCTGACAAAGCGCTGTGGATTGACACGATTTGATGGATCAGGAGTATTATTCTCAGCTGACCGGTGCCGCATTGCGCGTGAAATCTACCGCGACGATGGGGAAAGGTATCGCTGTGCTTTTCTCTCGCGAATTCTAGATTTGGAGATCTTGCAGGCCTCTTTGCCGAGAGAGATTTTGACGCGGAAGAGGTGATCTTGATCGAAGAACCTCTCTTTGCTGCACAGCACAGCCATAACAAGGTATTTGATTGGAATTGTTTTGCTTTACGAGTTCTTGTTCTTGTTCTTGTTCATTCATGGACAGAACGATGCGGTTGTGTGTGGCTTTTGCTTTCGCTACGTCGGTTCCATCCAGCTCCAAATACAACGCAAACTTGAAGCTCCAGAGACTCAGTCGTGCTGCTATCACGAAGAAGAAGATGAAGAAGAAGACCATCACCGGCATGGTGTTTCTTCGGAGGAAGCGTTAGCTCTTCTAAAAGGTGATGGTTTCTCTCTTCCTCATGGAGACAAGTTTTTGCTACCGGAGGTAGTCAAGTGCTCCGGTGGATGCTCGGAGATTTACTGCAGGTTAGTTTGTGAATGCGCTGCGACTTCCTTCTCATAACTCTTGCTTGCTTCCTTTTGCGAGTAGCAAATCGTGTGCACAAAGGGCCTGGCATGATCACCACTCGTTGCTTTGCGATGGTGTTTCACAACACAGGGACGAGCTTGTTCTTTTCAAAGAATTTGCTGATGGTAAACTGCTGTTCTCTACTCGTCCTGACTTTCATCCTCTCCAGAAACCAATGACATTTTCCATTTGGCCAGCAAGGTAGCCTTCGCTTGTTTCTTTGTTTTGCGACTATGTTTTACGTTCTCTGTGCAGTTGATTGCGAAGGTTATGCTTCGCACGAAAAAGCTCTCTGAAAGCAGTGGAGTTACAGACCGAAATGCACTCCTTGAGGCGTGGAAACCATTTGCCATGGGAGAAAAGCGTCTGTAAGTACGCTTTTCGCTTCGTAAGAGTTTAATTTCGCCAAGTTCAGGTGGTGGGAAGCCGTGGCTCTTCCAGACGACGTTGATCCTTTAGAAGAAGCATCTTTCAGGAGCCAAATCAAGGAATTAGCGGAAGCAGTAAGTTCCAAAGCATAACGATTATGTACACTAACATGTTCATGTTTTTTCTAGTCCTTGAGCCAGCTCAAAGCTGCGCTGGGGGAGCCGGAGTTTGCACCTCGTATCCTAAACCTTTGCTTCTTTTGGCGTTTTCTTTGACACCACCAGTTTTTTCTTTGGAGATTTATGGGAGCATCATCGGCATGTTCGAGCTAAACAACCTGTAAGCCATCTCTGTCGTTGAGAATCTCGAGTCACACGGCTTTTTCCAGAGATGTCGTCGTCGCCTCACCCGTTGAAAACTATTTTCTCTACATTCAAGATCTTGAGCCAGCTCTCAAGGTAACTAGAAGATAACATGGATGGACAAGTGCCTAGTCTTTGAATCACAGGAACAAACAGAACAAATTACTCGACCACTGTTTGAGGCTTTGGGCGAGAAGTACGCTTCCTTCTGCCAAGGTGGGTTTAACGTCCAGAACTATTCGTGGAATTTGAATGTACTTCCAGGTTCTGGGTTTTTCGCATTGCACAGCTGCATAAACCACTCTTGCGAGCCGAATGCGAAGGCTTTTAAGCGAGATGAGGTCTGTTTTGTAGTGAGGATAGAGCACAGTTGACTCGACTGTTTTTCAGGACATAAATGGCAATGCTGTGATAATTGCGACGAGGAAGATCATGAAAGGAGAACAGGTGAATCAAATCTTTCTTTCTTGTTTTCACTCAAAATGGTTTTCAGATTTTCACCTCATACATCGAGGAGGAAGATTTATCGTACACCGAGAGACAAGCAATGCTGTCGGACTACGGCTTCGCGTGCGAATGTACCAAGTGCTTCAGGGAGAAAAACCAGTCTTGAATCGAGCAAACCTTCGATGCTATTGCAAAATCTGGACTCCTTGAACACCAACTTCTGCTTGTAAGCATTCAAACCCAGAGCTGTTTAGATCGTCGCTCACTTGTTCCAAGACCTTTGGAGACAGTCCTGCAAGAGCGAGCGAGAGTTAGGAGAACATAAAGAAGATTTGAGAAAAGCTTTCTACCTCTTGGAAGTAAAGTGATCACGCAGCCGCCACCTCCTCCTCCGGTGAGCTTGGATTTCAAGCCGTACTTGGCTGTGATCTTGCAAATCTTCTCAATGGACGCATGACTCACTCCAATCGTTCCAAGAAGACCTTGGTTCAAAACGACGAGCTCCTCCAGCTTTTCCTGCTGGGACTGATCCTGCGAAGCACGTAAACGAGTGAATTCTCCGCTGGGGAGACACGAAAGTCTTGCTTACAGTCGCGGGCTGTGACTGGAGGATCCCGAGAAAGTCTTCCGAGATGGAATCGATAACATCAAAGATGCCAGACATGACCTTGGGGTGCTTCTCCTTGAGCTGACGAACGCCGCTCACCAATTTCTTGGTGTCTCTGGGAACTTTGGTGTTCGTGATAAGCATTTGCAGCGAGGCCAGGTTTGTGAGCACTTCTCTCTTGTCATTCTTCATCTTGACAACGTTTCCTGCCAAGATCATGATCTTGTGTAAACGAAGAAAAGAAACGCAAGAACTACCGAAAGTACACACTGTATTGTCGATCCCGGATGGATTTCCATGGATGATCTTCTCTGCCTCGAAAGCCCAGCTGCTGATGAGCCGTGCATCGTCCTCGCAAACGCCGATCCAATTGCTCCCAGCAAGCTTCCCATCCCTTTGGGGACGAGCGAAAGCCAGGAGCGAGGCAGCCACTGAGACTGCTAGAGCTGCCGAGGATCCAAGCCCGCAAGACATGGGAATCTCCGAGTCGATCGTCAAGACCACCGGCTTCAACCTGGAAGAACCTGTCAAAGAGAAGAAAAAACCATCTTTCCTTCTTACCCGACGATGGAGACGTAGAGGAACAAAACAGCCACCACTCCTGCTAGTTTTCCACCAGAAAACTCGGGAGGAAGCTCACAATTCCCACCAGTCCCTCGCTTCTCCAGCAATGCCGCCAGTTTCCCTGCGAGATCCTGCCGCACAGCCATGGGATCCACTTCCTCCAGCGCCGAAATCCCCAGCTCCTGCCGGATGAAATCCAGCGACCACTCCAGCGTCACATTGAGATCAGGCAGCACGAGAAGAAAGCTGGGGGAGTCTCCTGCTCTGGGCGATGAGGGATCAGACGAGCAGCCAGCGCCAGAGCTCGCGCCTTACCTCTCTCGATCCGTGCGTGCGTGTAGATCCCAATGGCGGCGGCCACGCCAGTGGATCCGTGGACGACGGCATGCTCCCCACACAGGATCACCTTCGCGGGCGCCCGGGCCACAGCCATTGCCAGAAATCTAGGTCACAACCTATTTTAAAACTACAGTTAAACTCAATGCCAGTCAATTAATTAAGTAAAAAATGAAACAATAATTACAATCAAGCTAAACACTCCTTGATCGATCACGGTTGGTCTGTGAGAGCGAGAGTATGCCACCACCCACACGCTACGTTTACTGCCCGGTGCTCGAGCGGAACTTCATGAGGAGTATCACGGTCGCCCGTGTCGCCAAGTCCTAGCTGCCAAGTTTCCAAAATCATCAAGAGGGCTTTGCAAGCAAAAAGAGAATACAGCAACTTACCTGGCCATACTTGTTCCATCCCCAGCAAAAAACCTTCCCCTTTTCTGCTCAAAAGAACAAAAAAACCGACTTCTGGTTGGAAATGCGGATTTTTGTGAAGCTCAGTACCTGTGGTTATTGCGCTGTGTCGAGCACCGCAGGACACTGACTTTGCACACTCGTCCTCCAGCACCGCGGCCTCTACAAGCTTAGGGAGCGTCTGCAAACAACAGTGGTTAAGCTTCAAGATTTTTTGATCAAGAGTTTTCACCACCTCCGAGTGATCGCCCCCAACGCCGAGTTGTCCGAACTGATTCCCACCAAAAGCGTACACCTCCCCAGTATCTGTGATGCACAGTGTGTGCCAAAGCCCAGATGCGATCGCTGTAACGTGGAGACCACCGAGAGAAGACACGTAGTTTGGGCTGAGCTCGTCTTCTGTGCTGCCTTGCCCACACTGAAACACAGGACTTTTCTTCAGGACACGACAAGTAAAACAGCTAAAACGTTACCTGGCCGTAGAGTCCCCATCCGAAAGTCAGAACAGCTCCACCATCTACAGCAAAAAACTTTCAGACTAACTTTCAGAATTGTAGATATCGTCAAGCTTGTAACCTGTTAAGATTGCACTGTGCCGCCCACCACAAGCAATTCCAACTATATAACTACCCGGTGGCTTTACTGCACCAGCCCTGTTGCCTTTTCTCAGCCAGTAAGTTGACGGCTCCAGCGGTATTGGCTGCGGTGACGAGACCGTGCGCATGCGAGTACCCAGGCCCAGCTGACCTTCGCCTCCATATCCCCAGCTCCATACCTGGCCAGTGTCTAAAATCCGAAACAAAACACTTATGAGAGCGACAGAGTGAACGAAAGAAAGTAAAAGCCCCGGAAAAGCTTGCCTGTAAGTGACAAAGTATGTCGCCCTCCCGTTGCGACAAGAATAACTTTGGCAGGCATTGGAACACAGCACAGAGGTGCTACCACCGCTTCGTCGACACCAGCTCCAGAACTGTCAGGAGAGCCAGCTTCATCCGTGCTGACTTTGCGTTTCTTGCTGGAATCAACTTTGTCATTGACCTTTAGAGCACTGCGAGGACTCTGTACTCTGCTACTGCTTGATCCTAGTCGGTGTTTCTCTGGAGAATTGTGGTCGGGTCCAGCCCGTTTCAGCCTACGAAGCGCCTCTGGGGAGTGCCCGGGACTCGAGTCCAAGTCGGGTTCCACGTGTTTTAACTCTTCGGTTCGTCCTTGATAGTCGTAAGGATCTCCCGAAACACCCTGCTCCACACAGTTTTTGTCACTTGGAACGCATTCCTTCCATCCCCACGTATACACTTCGCCAGTCTCTGAAACGAAAAGATCGGTTTTTTCCCGATGCTCAAACCTCCACTAACCTGTCACAACAGCGCAATGGGCCCAGCCTGCAGCTGCAAAAATCGCTGGCGGTGTTTGTAATGGGAAAGGTTCCGGATGCTCCTGAACACAGAAGTTGCAGGTAAACAAAGTTAAGTTGGCAGAATATAATATACCTGGTGTTTTCCGGAAATATGGTAACACTGCCCAAGATCATCAGTCGAGCCCCAAGTATGCAATTTTCCACTCTCTGTTGTGTTAGGATCCATCAAAGGAAGAAACAACAAAAGCCACAACACAAAGTTAGAATTTTATTGTTTTTTACTGAAGAAGATAAGCTCTGGCATCTGCAAAACTGTCACCGAGAAAAACGAAGAGCATCAATACAAAAGGAAAAGGATGTCTGCTAAAGGAGGCATTTGGAAAATGCAATAAACAGGCAGGCAATGGGCTAAAACTGGATGGTTACAGTGTTTTTTTCTCTTTTTTTGTTGGTCTTCAAAGCAGCAACTTCACCGAGTCTGCAACTTAAAAACAAGGCACAGAACAAACAGAAAAACTGTGAGATCGATCGAGCGGATAAGCTCGAGAAAACAACGAGACCCACGGCAAAAAAGAAAGAGAGGCTTGTAACACGAAGGGAAAGAACTCACTCACTCAAGCGGCTGCATACCCATCTTCATTCCATCTGCATTCTTGCGACTGTTTCTTTTCTGTTCCTACCTGAGAGAGCTAGAGCAAAACCACAACCTCCACTACACACTGCCCTCCACCCATCGTCGGGGCTCGCCGGCGACACCTTGGTGGGAACGACGATCGGTGATCTCTGCGGCGACGATGCCGGCAAATACCCCCACATACGTACACCGAGCTTCCTCGTACCCTGGATCTCCATCAATCCAGCGCTCACCTTCTTCACCGGGCTCGGCATTGCTATCCGGCTGCTTCCAAAACCCCCAAATCACAGTTAAACCCTAAAGTGGCATCCATGAGAAGCTTCTAGACCGCTTATTAGTTCTACATTTTGTGGCCCAAACGCACCCAGGAAATATCCGGCAGGGACAGCTGGCAGCACGAAACGCATTCCACGTCAGTAGCGCAAGGACCAGGTGGCAGCCACGTCAAGTCACGTGCTCGGATATGCATGAACATAATAATGGTGTCCCATTAGCAGCCGTGGATTATGACGTGCCACGCTCGCCATGCAAACGCACACTTGGCAGTTGCTCAGCGCCCGCACCTCCCAGATTCCCTTGTTACCCTTGCCAAAGCAAAATCACATCTATCCTCCCCTCATCTTCATCCCTTCCCAGCTATAAGAGCTCCATATTCTTGATTCCTTGCGCCAGGTCTCTCTCTCTCTCCCATTCCTAAAACTCCTTGGTCGATCGATCTAGGGAAGGAGCGCTCTCGCCATGGTGAAGCTCGTCTCCTCGCGCACAGCGCGGCTCTACGCCCCTGGCGGCTACCGCGAGCTCCTCGAGGGGATCAATGGATTCATCTATGTTCTTGGCGCGGTGCTTATCCTTGCCGGCTTGATCTTCCAGCTCCCTAGCCACGAGAACAGCAAGCTCGGATTGATCCTCGCCCTCACGGGATCCATCCTCATCTTCCTCGTCAATTTGCATGATCTCTACGCCCACCTCGCCGGCGTGGATTTCAAACTGGAGCTGCTCAAGGTGGATCCGCAGTACATCCTGGTCGAGATCGCCGTGCCCGTCGTCACCGCGCTGGGGTCGTTCCTCGTGTTCTTGGGCCTGCTCTTCTTGCTCCTGGTAAGCACAAAAAATTCCAGTCTCTGGGTTTGAATCTCTGGATCCCCTGGATCGATCGATCGTGCAGACTGCCAAGGGGAGGTACTCGCATCACACCAGGAACACCCTCGCGGTCCACGGATTGAGAATGCTCATCGCGGGGCCGGCATTGTGGCTGCTCGCATCGATCCACAACATCTTCCAGCTCTACGAGCGCGCGAGCTTGGGCGTCCAGGCCTACGAGCGGGGGGTCACTGTGTGCTTCGTCATCGCTAGCACGCTACTGCTGTGTGGAGGAGTGATCGGATTGCCATACTGGCCCAAGACGGTGGAGAGGAGGCTCCAGGTAATGGACTCGATTCTTTTCAATTTTATAACCCTAAATTTTTCTGTCTTCTCGCAGAGCAATGCGACCTGGTTTGCGATCCTGGGCGCGGCGCTGCTTGTTCTGGGCGGAATTGTCAACCTGATGAGGATCTCAACGCTGCAGCGCCTGGAGCGCGAAGGTCCTGGCCATGGCGGCGAATTTCTGAGAGGTGGCGCGCAGGAGAGCCTTAACCGCATGCGCGGCGAATCAGGCGAGCCATTCCTGGAGGGCAGTGCCAAGCACCGCGAAGATGTGGAGGGCGGTGAAGGTCGCAGCTTGTACAAGGATGTGGTTGCTGGCTCTCCAGAGCGCCTCTACTAGAACCCTAAAACAGAGTGTCCGTAAATAATTCACCCGTTTAGGGCTTTTCTTATTTTATGTTAAAATTTTGTTTATATGCCCTAAATCTGTATACATTTTTTCTAAAGGCAATTTGATAGATTTGTCTATATGGTCCCTTTGACAGTGAAATGCTTGCGTTTTCCTCGAGATTGAGGGGAGGAGTCCAACGAGATCCTCGGTAATATAGTGCCGCGAGACCGTATGACTTGCCACCTTTCACAGCGTTGTCGCTTGATGCTCGATCCAGATGTGTGGACTTGACGATTTCCACATTGATCCACCAAATAGAGAGCTCTGTTGAGACGCAACATGTCCCTGTCCCACAAAAATAACCTTTTTTAATGGCTGCCACCTTTTATATCAAAATAGGATTGAACAGTGTGCTGGATCAATAACTACTTGACTTTCGTGGAACGCATTGATCAGTCGAGTTACCAGAGAGGCTGAGGCTGAGGCCAATACTAGAGTAGCGTATCTTTGGAAATCATCCCCTTCTCATCATGATGGGGGACTTCATATGGGGTCCAGCGCGCTCCTGGCAATCCAAGCCTTACAACTAGATTCTTCCCTTCACACTGTGTAGGGACAAATGCACTATCGGCACCCGCACCCTATTGTCTCTTTGATGAGGCTGAAGGTTTTCAGTATAGAGATGCTGGTGTTGTACTCTGTCTCATGCTTCTTGGTGGGCACTATAAAACCCTGTAAACAGTTGAATATACGTGGAGACAAGAATTCAACCTTGCCTACTGTGGCAGTAAGAAAGGAAAGCTTTCCTGCTTATGTGAATTGGCTGCTTGGTTGGGTGTGAAGTCAGCAAGTCAAAGAGAATATATGTTTTTGAGGGTCTTGCAATGCTTAATTGAACACATATGAATACAATAGATGCAAATTAAAAACCTTATCAAAATTTGAATACCCACGTTTCCTTTAATAACAATAGTAGGCTTTCAAAGTTTGGTAATGGAGTGCAATTTGAATCTCTTAACGATTATCCATTGAAGGGCAAGTTTTAGATTTAGCATCCTACAGCCATCTATACCCTATATAGTTAGCATATTTCCTATGGATCTGATCTTGCACAGCATGTAGCTTAGCGGCTCTTCAAGAAGGTTATCACATGAGCGGCGTTCACAATGGTTATTTGACCGATGTGGATCATACATGACAAGAACTATTTTCTTTGAAGGGTTTCTAGACAAACGGTGTCTTGGTGAATGGAGCTGGATGGTCGTCTGGATTCTTAGCTTCTTCGTGGTGCTGCGCCTTCTTGGCCTCAGCTCGGTCGGCGGCGGCGGCCTGGCGCGTGTCCTTGCTCAAATCCGCGGCGATGCCCGCCTCTTCGTCCCCTGCCCCTTTCATCTTCTCGGCCTGCATACATCGCGCATTGCAATCCCGGGATCAAACTCAAAGCGAGAAAAGAAAAAAACCCTAACCTGCGCTGAGATCGTTGCTCCCGCCTTCTCCAAGTTCTCCTGCATCGTCGCGCCCGCGTTCTTGAGGCCCTCCCCCACGGAAACCCCCTTGTCCTGCCCCGGTGCTTGCTTCATCGCGATCGATTCTAGTCACAAAGAAACACAATCCCTAGGTTGCTTCTTGCGATGCTCTTCTTTTTCACTCCGCGGAGAACAAGCAAACTAGATGCCACGTGTGAGGGTCCGTGGCGCGTTCTCAAGCCCGACACGTGTCTGGCTATGGATGCTTCTGGCATATTCGAACTTTCGCGCTTCCCCGGAATGTGAAGGGGCATTCCGTTATATTGTTGTAGGGCTGGGCGATTTTTCTCCCCCAAATGGGCACCAAGCGGGTAGACATCGCCGACTGGCTGGAGAGCCAGAAGAAGGACTACGCGCCCAGCAGCTTGGATCGCTACCTCTCCCAACCCGAGAGCCCCACAAGCCCCCGATGGGATTCGCTCGCCCCATCGCAGCAGCAGCAAACGCCCCCGGGATCATCATCCATGAGCTCCGCCTCCTCCTCTCCCAATCCCTCCTTCTCCGCCAACTCCACACCCCGGGGCGCGGGGGGATCGTGTCTCCCCTTGCCCTCGCCGCTCTCGATCCAGTACGCCAAGGGCGAGATGGTGGCGGTGCGCTGCAATCGCCACAAGTGGCTCCTGGGCGAAGTGAGGCGACTGTCCACGCGGGGGGTTAGGGTTTGGGTGCGCGAGGCGGGCCTCCTCGTCAACGTCCCCAAGCAGCTCCTGGCCACGCACCTCCACAAGATGGCCACCTCCATGGACCAGCAGGGATTCATCCACTACTCGCTCCCACCGGGCGACGCAAACGCGTCCATTCTCGCCGCCGAGGCCATGGAATCCTCGCCCAGCGGCGCGCCGCGCTTCCTCGTCCAGTGCGTCCGCCCCGCGCATCTCTCCCACCGCCAGCTCTTCCTGGCGCCGCAGGGATCCCCCGCCGCCACCACCGCCGCCGGCGCCAACGCCTGCGCGATCTGTGGCCACGACGTGATCGTCGAGGACGAGGCGGTGGCGCCCTGGGATTGCAATCACTCCTGCCACATCGACTGCATCCAGGACAAGCCGCGCTTCTTCTCCACCATGAATTGCCCAGTTTGCGCCGAGCAGTCGACGTCGCCCTCCACGGCGTCGTCGTCCCCGGCGACACCCCCGCCATATCCCGCCCAGTTTGGGCTCGACGGCCCTCATCATGTAGAGCCCAGGGAATCGACGGCGGAGAGTCCGCCTCCTCAGCCGCTGAAAACCATCGATGAGGACACGCCGGAGCTCCGCACGCCCAAGCCATCTCTCAAGCCCGCCATCAAGAAGCAGAGCGTGAGCTTCTCGTCCGACATGCAATCGCCTCAAGCGTCCTCGTCTTCTTCCTCCATCGCCACTTCCAAGAAGAGCGGCGTTGGCAGCAGTAGTAGTAGCGCTGCGCCAGCGCCATCCACTGCTTCTACTGCTACTTCTCTCGCGGAGCGGATGAGGAGGTTCTCAATCGGCGGCGGTGGAGCTCAAGCTAGCAATGAGCAACAGCAGCAGCAAGGGGAATGGCTAACGGTGATCAGGGACGGGCAAGACACGAGGCAGACAGCCTCGCAGCAGAGGATTGAGCATATGGCACGGGCAAAAGAGAACACTTTCTCTGCAAAAGCCAAGCAGCAGCAACAGCAACAACAACAGCAGCTCAGAATTCAGTGAAAGTTTTTGTTTCTTTTTCCACTCGGGTGCAAAGCCATGACTTTCATTGACATTACATTGACTTTGATTCTCATTTTGAGCTGGTGAGCTCGAAATGTGGTCCGGGCTCGAAATAGTTAGCTACTATGATTTTAAAAACTTTTAAGAGTCTCCAGTCAATGACAGCACGGTAGTACTTTGCTTAGAATTCGCTGGAATCTAAGGAAGTGGGCAGACAAATCATCTCATAGACTGCATGACGTAAAAACTACTCTATGTTGAACTTTGAAAGTTAGCTATTCGAAGGAAACCGTGATTCAAAGCCATTCAAAGCTAGATCGCGTTATTTTCCACAGCCTATTAACAATCTCGTCTAAACCCTCTCGGAACAAATCGGGACTTTTGGTCGCTGTGCTCTTCATGCGTTGGTGTTATTTCTTCAATAGGATCCTATTTCCTGATAGATCGAACAAATCAGGGAGAGAATGAATACCTCTTTCCACGAATATTTATAGAGACTTCTATAGTATCTATCGATTGATGGACGAACTATGTGGCGATAATCTGATTCAGTAGCCACAGATGCCAAAATCGCAGCGCAGCGGTCGGCGGCAGACGTTCCCACAAATGCCGCAGTTCCTCCTGCTGCGATCCAGATCCACGCACCGCCCCCTGCAGCAGCTGAATCCAAACCCACACCGATTGAAGCACCGCCCGCAGTGCGCCGGATCGCCCAAGATGTCGACGCATCGCCTGTTGCAGCAAATCGGCCCCGCAGGCCTGTTCCTGGGATTCAAGCACACCAACGGATTGGAGTTGCAGTTCCTTCTCGTCCTCGGCGGCGCCGCTTGCCCATCGCTGCGGCTGGGCGCGAACACCAGAATGATCAGAGCTAGGAGGAGCAAGAACCTGAGCAGCATTGTGTCGCCGTCGCTGGCGCGATTGGAGATCTGGGAAGCGTGAGCCCTTCCCTTGTTCTTGAAGCGCGTATGGGAATTTCTAGCCGTGATTTCTCAATTCCTTGTGCTTCAAGTCGGGCATAACTCGAGCGCCGGGCATGTTCCTTAATTTCAAATTTTCAAACCCAGACGATGCTCAAGAATATTCTTTTGTCCACGTGTGCGCTAGATTGAATCTAGAGCGTTGACTTGCGACACAAGAAAAAACGTGTGGAGTTTCGCAATCGTGGAAAGAGAAAGAAAGTCGCGTTTTTTTTCCAAAGATTAGCTCTCGCAAATTCATTACAAAGTTTCCTTTTGATCCGGACAAATCGATCTATTTCCCCTTCTTGGCAGCGGCGAGCTTCCTCTCGATCGTGAAGAAGATCGCGAGCGATCCCACGGAGAAGAGGGAGAAGCAAGCGGTGGCAATGTAGAGCGATTTGGGGCGGCCGGTGATTGGGATCACGGTGAAGATGTTCTCCGTCTTGGCCGCGTTCGTGCTCTGCCCGTACGCGACTTGGCTCCCGGTCGAGTTGATCGCGTAAGCTCGCACGAAGTAGAGCGCTCCCGGGGTGTCCTTGGAGATGAGCCACTCGGTGGAGTTTCCAGCGGCGCCCGCGTAGGACTGGGTCGCGATGTCGAATTGGCACGTCTTGTCCTTCTTGAGATCATCGGTGCTCTTCCTCCAGCCGCGGTTTTGCTGGCTGGGCGGCGCGTAGCAGAGCTTGAGCTTGATGTTCTTGAAGTTTGTGGGAGCTGGGACAGAGGAATTCACGGACCAGTTGATCAGGAGTCGGTCCTTTCCGGATTCCACGGCTGATCGGAGTAGAAATCCACCAAGGTAAGCGAAGAACACCACGAAGAAAAAAGAAGAGCTCTCTACTTACAGTTTAAGAAGCGCCCTTGCTCGTTCATCGCCACCGTCACGACCAAGCTCCTCGGCAAGCTCGCGAAGGAAACACCGCCATGGACGGATCGCGCCAAAGCGAGGAAAGCAATCGACACGAGCAGCACGCAATCGAAAACAGCCATCTTGGATGCTTGCTACTTTGGCGTCCACCCCAATCGAAGGCGACGATAGAACAATCAAGATGAGAATCCCCAGAGATTATATCTCCCACACGCACCAGTCAACCATTGGCCAAATCGGACCATCGAAGGACAAAAGGCGCCACACCAGAGGATCTCAAAGAGTCGCGGATTAGCCACAGCTTGCCTGTTGGAGAGCTCTGACCCTGGAAACTAGCGCGGCGAAAAACTATAGTCTATTATCGCCAAAGTCAAGAGTGTTGGGACCCGAAGGAAAACTTTTCCAAAAGCTTTGTTTGGCTCTCATCATCAGAGGGTGTCATCTCTTTCATCTTTGTTACTTTTTTTTTCTTTGTTCTTTCTGTTTTATCATAGTCGCTAATGGCTGAGCTGAGCTGATGCGTCTTTCCTGCTAAAACACCCGCTTAAAGAGATAAGTCAGCAAAACAATCAAAGGATTAGTTCCAAAGAAGAAGATATGGAAAACTAGAAAAAAAAAAGGAGATCATTACTGCCCTGGGGTATCAGCTTAGCAAACAGTCACGAACACAGCGTCGCCAACAACGGCACCATTTTTACGCGCACCAGCGATCCTCCTAGAGTCGTTTTTTCCTTTTTTTTCCGAGGCAGCAGTAGCGGCAGCAGCGGCAATAGCGGCAGTAGCAGCAGCAACTTTGGCACGACCCCACTCAGCACTACCAAAACCCCCCTAAAAGTGGACGAAGCACAGAAGCATTTCGTTAGCATGACTGCACACAGGCAAAGCACTCCACAGATGCAAGACAAACATACAACAACAGCCTTCCCATACCAATAAGCGAGAAACATACATCATAGTGATGGAAAGAAAGAAAAGAGGGAGAGAGCGAGAGAGAAGAGTGAGAAAGAGAGCAAGAGAAGAAGAAAAAAAAATGCAACGTAAAGACGAACCAGCTGAGGTGCCACCTCCACTCAGCTAGATGTCCCTCGGACAGCTTCCATGAGTACTACTAAGACTGTCCACCCCCGGATAGCTCTAACAAGGTACTCCAAAGGCGCATGCCACCGCTCGCTTATTAGGATTCCTGCGATGGAACCGAAATTGTTGGTGATCGGTGCAAGCTTTTGATCAGAAGATGCAAACCTCAGGCTCTGAATTAGGAGAAGAATGGCGGCCATTCACGGGACTTTTCGCATCCGGCGATGGACTTGCTCTCGGAGAGACGCTGCGACGGCCCAAGTTTCGCACCGGCGATGGGCTCCTGGGAGCTGGAGAAGCGCTACGACGAGGCTGAGGCGACGGGCTCCTGCAAAACAAAAGCAAGAATTAGCAAGGGAAAAAAAGCGCTTAGTGTTCAAAGCCACCACCTTTCAATGACTGGAGACGCTTGCCTCTCGGGTGATTTACTCCGGGATCGTCTTCGCCCCTCGCGGCCATCACGACCATCACGAGCATCGCGGCCATCGCGGCCGCCGTCACGATTGTCTCGGGGATAGTCGTGGCCACGGCCTCTACTTCTACTGCGGCTTCGGCTGCGGCTAAAGCTCCGCCTCCGGTAATCTCTACTGTCACGCCCGCGGTATCTCTCGCGTTCGTATCTTTCGCGACTACGGCTACGCCTTCGGTCTCTATCTCTCTCTCGGTAGTCGTCATAATCCCTTCTACAATCAACGAGATAAGAATTGAGTCTCCATCTATCCAACGAAAAATTTTCAATGTCCGAAAGTTTCTTACCTTCCTCTCCGAGGACTCCGGCTCCTGGACCGGCTGCGCCAGATTGGACTGGACGAAGTTATTTTTCCACGGTGGCTGCAGAAAAGAAAAGAAAGAGAGAATAAAAAAACCACCAAGAGCATCCGAGCTCTTCACTCACATTGACTCATCGTTCCTGCCGTATTTCGCAAATTGGACAACAATATTTCTTCCATCTACATTCTTACCTGCGAAGTAACCAAGCACGAGAATTTAACAAAGAACTACAAGACAAAGTATGGAAGCATACCATCAAGCCTCTCAATTGCCTTTTGAGCTTCGTCAGCGTGCTTGTAACGAACGAAAGCAAATCCCCTCGAGTCCCCGGTTCTGGAAAGCACGAAGGAAGAAAAGAAAAGAAAAAATCAAGGGCACTGTCTGGAAGAAGGCCAACATTTGCGAGCTTTACCTCCGGTCTCTTGGGATAAAAATATCAACCACTTTTCCATATCTATCAAACAAAGGAAACAAATCGTCGGCGCTGGTCCCTGCAACACGGGCCGTGAAACCCTAGAAATCCAATGCAGATTCTAGCGCGCGAGAGAGCGCGCGCTGGGAGGAGCGAAGAGGAAGAAATCACTCACGGAAGGTGATGTTGAGGACGAGGAGCGAGTACGTATCGCGGATGTCCGGCGGCCCCGATCGCCCAAAATGCGACATCGTCGCGCCCAGCGCCAAGCCCTAGCAGCCAAAGGATGAGGCTAAGCTTATCAAGGGGGGCCTTTTATATGTGACCGGGCTTTGCTAAGGACACCCTGGGTCCGGGGTTTATTCTCTCGCTCTCTCGATCGCTAGGGCTAGCTAGAATGTGCGCGCTTCTTCTCCGCCCCGGCGCTCGCCCGATCGCGCCGCTCACCAATGCGGAATCCAGGAAGCGCAGGTGTGCGAGATCCAGGTGCTCGGCGCGGCTCTCCGTGGAGATGCCTGGCAGGAATCTAGAGAGTCCTGTCCTTGCCGCGGCGCCGGTGATGGTGAGTGGCATCTCTCTTTGTGTGGGATTCCGGGGTGAAATATCCATTTCCAGGTGAACGATTGCACAGGCAAGGTCGGGCAGGCTGTGGCGGAGGCCGCGGTGGCGGCTGGGCTGAGATTGGTGCCGCTGAGCTTGACAGGGCCGGGGAGAGGAGGCAAGAGAGTCGTGATTGGGAATGTGGAGGTGGACGTCCGGGAAGTGTCCGAGAGAGAGGATGTTGTCAAGGAGGTGATCACGGAGTATCCCAATGTCATCGTTGTCGATTACACTCTTCCTGCCGCTGTAAATGGTAAGGAAGGAATCCCTCCTCTCGTGTTTTTCTCTCGTTCTTACTGGGTTGTCTTCTAGACAATGCGGAGTTTTACTGCAAGCAGGGGCTCCCTTTTGTGATGGGAACAACGGGGGGCGATCGCGAGAAGCTCTTGGATGTAGCAAGAAAATCGGGAACTTACTCTATCATTGCGCCACAGATGGGGAAACAGGTGGACTTGTTCTTGTTCTTTTGATCGTTTGGAGGTTTAGTTTCTCTTTTCTCAGGTCGTCGCTTTCGTAGCAGCAATGGAGATTATGGCTAAGCAATTCCCTGGAGCTTTCTCGGGATATACTCTCCAGGTACGCAAAAGTTGGGGAATGTGGTACTGACTGACTTGAACAATCAATCAGGTGACTGAGTCCCATCAATCTACCAAAGCTGATGTTTCGGGCACTGCTTTAGCAGTCATTTCCAGTCTTCGCAAGCTGGGGTTAGACTTTAAGGACGAGCAGGTTGGAAGAATTATTCGTACGAGTTTATATTGTACATTGCGTTCCTTGATGATTTTCCAGGTGGAGCTCGTGAGGGATCCGAAGGAGCAAATGACGAGAATGGGAGTACCGGAGCAGCATCTTAATGGCCATGCATTTCACACCTACAAAATTATATCACCAGATGGCACGTAAGTTATCTCTCATTACGTTCAAGAGCAGAGAAAAAAAAAATTCTTTTGATTGATCTCTTTTGCAGTGTTTTCTTTGAATTCAAGCACAATGTTTGTGGCCGAAGTATCTACGCTCAGGGAACAGTTGATGCCGTCTTGTTCCTATCTAAGAAGGTGCAAAGTTCTCTGTCATTTTCCTTGCCTTCCTGTTAAAAGTGAGATTTTCCCCCGCTTTCAGATCCAAGAGAAGTCAGAGAAGCGGCTGTACAACATGATCGACGTCCTAGAGGGCGGAAGCATGAGATGATTGATCTTCACTCGGAGTCTTCCGCGAGCACATCCCCCGGGAGCTGCATTTTCAAGATGTCTGTCCGGTTCAAGACTTGCGCGGCCGCCTTTTCATCCTCCAGCACCTCGCTCTCGAGGTCCTTCGTCTCGGCCGGGTCTGGGAAGCACGCTGTGTCCGAGAGGGGCCGCAAGCTGAGATAAGCGATGAAGAGGAGATATAGCAGCGTCAGGGAGAAGACGATCATGCCGAGAATAACACGCCCCGCCAGGAGAGTGTGGCTCGATATCAGCCACTTCACGAAAGCCGAGACGAGGAAGTAGACATTGACAGTCATCACGCAGCCACCGATGAAACCAGTGACGATCATGATCTGCCCAAGACGATGATCTTAGCAACACAAGCAAAGATATCAAACAAGAACCAGTTATACCCCGAGAGAGTTTACGTGTGCTCCCATTTTGAGCTTGCTGCCTGTGAAACGCAGGAGTGGAATTAGCACGAATGGCAGCACGAACGATAGGATCATCTGGAAGTTGATACGAGTTAGAATGGATGGTTTCTTCTTTTCTTTGGATTTCTTACCGAGCAAACTATGATCAGTTGTCCAGCGCTCCGGGAGCCTCCGATAAGAGCGACCACCAAGCTGGGAACAATGGCAACGCTGCGAGTGAGCAAGTTTCTCATCCATGGTTTGAGCCGGAGGTTGAGGAAGCCTTGCATCACGTACTGCCCCGCGTAAGTCCCCGTGATGGTGGAGCTCTCTCCAGATGCCAGGAGCGCCACTGCGAATATGACTTTGCTCCATTGCCCGAGAACGTTCTATAGGGAAGGAAGAACCCGAGCTTACAAAAGAGAAAAATGGAAGCTTTCGTGACTTACGCGAAGCAAAAAGGAGGCCTGGTTGAGGTCCAAGTCGGAGCACTTGTCTCTGTCTTCTGGAGAGAGATCCGGCCTGAAGCACACCGTCGCGCTTACAGAGATGACACAGACGTTGATAAGGAAGGAGAGGAAGATGGCGAATCCACACTCCAAAAGGTAGTATCTACATCCTTCCTGTGAATCCATAGATAAAAGCTTAGCAAGAGCAAAAGAAAAAATTCTCCATCTTGCCTTGATAGCTTCCTCCGATCGATGGATTTTTCGAGTTAGTACCAGCGCCGAATGGAGGTAAAGGTTATGCCTGTCACACAAAGAAAAGAAGTTAGAGCGTTGGAAGAAGCACGATCATTGATCGAGCTTACGGCATGATCATCGCGCCGAGCAAAGAGATTGCGATTCCAGTTGCGCCGTGGCCGCTCAATCTCGGTATAAACCCCTTGAGCACTTCACTAGCTTCCGGCTTGGCATAGCCCAGCTCCGCAAAGAAGCAGCCGACCATGACAAAAACAAAGAGAGCCACCACGAACTCCAGCTTCCTGACCTGGAGTGCTCTCACAAAGTTTAGAAAACCAGAAAAAAACGGAAGAAAAACATCACGTACTCCATATTGTTGCAACGCAAGCAAAAGCAGCGTGCTCACTCCGGTGAGAAGAACTCCGATCCAAAGCGGTATGCTGAAAAGCATGTTCAATGCGAATGCGGTGCCGATCACTGCCAAGAGTCCAAGAACAAGAGTTTTTACGTGTTGCGATGAAAAACAATGCGCCAGACCTTCGGGAATGTCCGATGCGATGATCGTCACCTCGGCTAGAATCCATAGCACGTATTTCACTAGCCGCGGGTACTCAGTCCTGCAGTGCTCCGCTAGATGCCTCCCTGATATAAAAAAAGAAATGATCTCGCAATCGCAAAGTTTGCTCCTTACCAGTTACGACTCCCAAGTTGGCAGCGAGCGATTGAATGATCAATCCAGCCACGGACGCAAAGAGCACAACCCACAAGAGCTGAGAGAAGATGGTGTGAACGAATCAAACAAAGAAAAAAACCTCATATCTGTACTGTGCTCCAGATTGGAGATCGCTTTCAACTGGAAGGAAATGGTAAATAAGAAACCGGGGTTTGAGGAAAAGCAAGAGCACACGTACAATTAGCGGGATCAATGTAAGCAATGCACACCAAGAAACCGGGGCCCAAAAACGCCAGGAGCTTCCGGAAAGCTCCCTTTTGCTGCGCACGCGAGGAACGAGGAACGATGAAGACCACGATACAAAGAGAGGGAAAAAAACCTACCCGTGGGATTAGAACTTGATTCTTGATTCCCTCTTCGTCGGAGGCGGAGGCGGAGGAGGGGGGAGCGAGAATGTTCCGTAGTGAATCCATGGATGGGTGGAGCTAACCCCGGCATAAATTAAATAGGAAAAGTGGCGCACGCTTCACCACCGTGCACTTGCGCCAAGAGTGTGTTTTGTGACATATCAGTGCCACATCAGTGCCACATAATTGTGCCACATCAATTAAAAAGCTAACAATTTTATAAATTTTAAAAATAGATTGATTATATTATTGGAAATAGATTCTCCAGAATATTATTTAATAGAAATTTGTTGCAGAATATTTATTTGAGACTATATATATACATATATACATATATACATATACATATATACATATATATATATATATATACATATATTATATATATACATATATATATATATATATATATATGTATATATATAAAATTTATTTAGTTAATATGTGCATATCAATTAAATTTTACTCCTACCAACAACTATGTTTTGGGGTGTTTTGGATGACAACATTGAGACTAACAGCCTTGTTACCTTCATGAAGTCCCTCGATGAATGTAACATTTTATAGTTGTGTTATCATGTTCTTTTATTTGCTAGTTCAAAATATTTTAAATATCTTCTAGTCAAAGAATTAACTTACTTATTTATCTTTTTAATTTTGAATTATTTATGTCTAATTATATTAAATAGTTTCTCTTATGTTTTTAATATAAAAGTTTCTGATGAAAATCAAGTCAAGTAACAGATAAAAAAATATAAAAATAAACTTAAATATAAAAGAAAATTAAATTATTTTATAATATGGTTTATATAGAATACAATAAACATGCTATATGAATCTACAAATTTGTTAGCTAAAACCATATAACTTACTAAAATTATTTATACTTCCTTTAGTTTTATAAATAATTATTATAGAAAATATAAATACAACTATAAAACTCCCATTATAATTTTTTAGGGTTTAGTTTATATATTTTATTTATATTATTTATGATATATATATATACATATTCATCTTTATAAATTAATTTAGATTATAAATATATGGTTATTTAGTTAAACTCATACTAGTTTGGTGAGAAGTTTATAAAGGTTTATAAAAGGAAGTATCCACTGTACGATATAAAATGTTTTCTTACAGATCTACCAAGAATATAAAAGTTTATATGAAAATTAAATATTATAAAGAATATTTTAGATTAAATTAAATTAATTTGATTAATTATAAAAGTTTTTCTAAAAAATTAAAAAATTTGCTATGCATTGCATGTAGTACTGCTTAGTTTGTTTAATACTAGTGTTATTCCTACTTATTATCTAATTTATCAAATAAATATTTATAATTATATGCATGTTAATAATTTATAAATACAAGACTGATCTTATTACATATCAACCATTAAATGATAAAATAAAATACAATATACTAGAAAGTGTTGTGAGTGCATGGAATATGGAAAGGGAATACAGAAATGTGTGTATCCATTAGCCCAAAAACCCTAGCTTATATACAGGAGCGAGTGGTCCGGATTGAAACCAATCTGACGGCTACTAAAATCCCACTACACTAATATTAATATACGGCATCGTAGCCATACACTTGGCCCTCACATCATCCCCTCCTCTCGGAATAATGGAAGACACTCAAGGTTCTCTTGTAGATGGGCCGGGATCTGGAGGAACATCAGGAGGAGGCATCGGCGGATTTGTAGATGGTATTAACCGCTCCTGATCCCTTTGTATGAAGCGTTTCAACTGCTGCACATGCACAATCTCTGGAGGATCAGCCTGCTAGACGTCATGCTAAACCTCATAAACTTGTGGTCCAACTTGCCGTAACACTCGATACGGTCCTTTCCACTATGCAAGGAGCCCTTTAGATAAACCACGTACCATAAGATGGGGAAAACGAACTAACACCAAATCATCCACTTTGTACTTTGCAGGTGGACGATGATGGGAGTTGTAACGCCATTGTTGTCCCACTTATACGCGGCCTAAGTGTTCGGCAGACTCCGCTCGGACAAGTGGAAGAATATTGATCCCATGACCTAGCATCCGCAGCTCGTGGCAATTGCGAAGGTAAATCCAGCTCCGTTAGTAATATTGGATCATGACCATATAGGAGTTTATATGGTGAAACACCAACAAAACTCTGCACCCTAGTGACATATACATACCGAAGAGATGGCAAATAACTATCCCAATCCGAATGCTGAAAGTTCACATACTTCGCGATCATCCCTTTGAACGTCTGAAAGAGCCGTTCCACCAGACCGTCTGATTGTGGATGATAAGCACTCGTGAAAGTGTGGCAAATCCCCAACCGAGACGTCAAAACATGAAATGCCTCAGCCATAAATGCGGGACCATTATCCGAAAGAATCCGCTCTAGACAAGAATGCTGGAACACCACTCGATTGAGGAGGAAGTATCCAATAGCAATTGTAGATGCGCTAGCAAGAGCACCAACTTCCACCCAACGAGTTAAGTAGTCAGAAGCAATAATAACATACTCATTGCCAACAGTCGACTGTGGAAAAGGTCCCATAAGATCAAACGCCACCAACTCAAACAGACGGGAAACTGCAATTGACTCCAACCGTCCTTCTGGAGCCCGAGGGGGAGTATTACGAGCTTGGCACCAAACGCAACTACGCACATACCGGATAATATCACATCGCATATCCGGCCAATAGAAAAACTTGCGTAGCTTCTCGATTACACGACGATGTCCCATATGCCCACCTAGAACAGGAGAATCATGGTAGGCATGGAGAAACCGCGGAATAAAGATAGAAGGCACCACCAGTTGTAAATGATCATCAGGATCTGTCCCCACAAAATAAAGAAGGCCATCTTTAAGATGATATTGAGAATGTAAATGCTGGAAAGGCAAGTCA